ATATTGCGTTACTGCCTTAAAAAAGTAACTGTGTTACTTAGTAACTGTTTATGGAAAGTAATGTTACGTTATGTTTGCGTTACTCCCTAAAAAGTAACTAATTGTGTTACTTAGTTATTGTGTATGGAAAGTAATGTTACCTTACTTTTGCATTACTCCCTAAAATGTAACTAATTGTGTTACTTTGTTACTTTTTATGGAAAGCAATGTTATGTTACGTTTACGTTACTCCATAAAAAGTAACTAATTGCGTTACTTTGTTACTGTGTATGGAAAGTAATGTGTTACGTTACTTTTGCATTACTCCCTAAAATGTAACTAATTGTGTTACTTAGTTACTGTTTATGGAAAGTAATGTTACGTTACTTTTGCGTTACTCCCTAAAATGTAACTAATTGCGTTACTTAGTTACTGTTTATGGAAAGTAATGTGTTACGTTACTTTTGCATAACTCCCTAAAATGTAACTAATTGTGTTACTTTGTTACTTTTTGTGGAAAGCAATGTTACGTTACTTTTGCGTTACTCCCTAAAAAGTAACTAATTTTGTTACTTAGTTACTGTTTATGGAAAGTAATAATGTGTTATGTTACTTTTGCATTATTCCCTAAAATGTAACTAATTGTGTTACTTTGTTACTTTTTGTGGAAAGCAATGTTACGTTACTTTTGCGTTACTCCCTAAAAAGTAACTAATTGTGTTACTTAGTTACTGTTTATGGAAAGTAATAATGTGTTATGTTACTTTTGCATTATTCCCTAAAATGTAACTAATTGTGTTACTTTGTTACTTTTTGTGGAAAGCAATGTTACGTTACTTTTGCGTTACTCCCTAAAAAGTAACTAATTGTGTTACTTAGTTACTGTTTATGGAAAGTAATAATGTGTTATGTTACTTTTGCATTATTCCCTAAAATGTAACTAATTGTGTTACTTTGTTACTTTTTGTGAAAAGTAATGTTACGTTACTTTTGCGTTACTCCCTAAAAAGTAACTAATTGTGTTACTTAGTTACTGTTTATGGAAAGTAATAATGTGTTATGTTACTTTTGCGTTACTCCCTAAAATGTAACTAATTGCGTTACTTAGTTACTGTTTATGGAAAGTAATAATGTGTTATGTTACTTTTGCGTTACTCCCTAAAATGTAACTAATTGCATTACTTAGTTACTGTGTATGGAAAGTAATGTGTTACGTTACTTTTGCGTTACTCCCTAAAAAGTAACTAATTGCGTTACTTAGTTACTGTTTATGGAAAGTAATAATGTGTTATGTTACTTTTGCATTACTCCCTAAAAAGTAACTAATTTCGTTACTTAGTTACTTTTTATAGAAAGTAATGTTACATGTTTGCGTTAAGAGTGTTACACAAGGCGCCTCTGCATTTACTCCTGATTTCTCTCAACATGAAGACAGGAGAGCTGTCAGTCAATAAATGGGTGAACAAAGTAATTTGCATTACTTATTTGAAAAAAATACAGATATTTTGTTTTAAATTTAAAAGTACTCGGAAAAAAATTGGATTACGTCACATTACTCACACTACTTGTAATGAATTACCACCAAGACTGTGAACAACATTAGTGAATCTAAGTCGATTTGACAAAAGACAAAAAGGTGATAAATCATTAAAATAATTTTTACAGGTTAGTGTTGAGAATGAAGACAAAAAGTGTCATTTCTCCATGTTGTTGGAGTGTATAATGATACAGAGTCTCTGAGTAATTCTCCCACTCTTGTTAGCAGTTTCAGTGCAAATGTTTGTGTAAGTTGTCTCTTAAAAGCACTTCTTGTGTTTACGAGGCTGTTTAGAGGCTGCACTCATGTATAATTCACGGATGCTCTGGGAGGAAGTTCTGCTGGGTTTGCTTAAGAGTGTTTGCTCCGTTGCCGGGTTGAGAATAATTTAGTGAATTTGCCCAGAGGTGATATTCACGCCTGTATTTTTTGCGGTTTCATCAAAGGGCTTTTTGTGATCTCAGGATGCTCTTTTATGTGGAGACGTTCATCAGGACGATTTGATAAACACTGTCATGAATGTGTGTGCTTGTTTATAGAGCGTTTGTTTGAACACTCAGATTTCATGCTAATGTTGATTCTCCTCCATATTTTTTATATTTGGTCGGAAAGAAGCCGGACCCAGAGGAACCCCCGGCCGAACCGAGCACTCACGACACCATAGAGAAGATAGAGGAGGTTCTTCCAGCGGACGCCTCACATCACACAGAAACTCATGTAGGTCAATTCATTATATGTTCATTCATAATTATAATTAATATGTATTCCGTGCACATTGTGTTATTTATTTAATGTATGATGTTTTTATGTATACTGTTTACATGGCCTCGTTAATTGACCCTTGGGGACAAATAAAGTGTTTTGAATTGAATTGAATTGAATTGAATGAGTAGCTGTTTCCTCATAGTTGGCATAGAAAGTCTGCTCAAAAATGATTTGTTGGTTTAACTTAAAGAGAAGCCATTCTGCCCTTTTACAAAGTCTTGATGTTTTCAGGCTCTACTAGAACAGGTTTTCCTACTGAATGTTGATTATTCTCCTCATATTCTCCATTGTTGCGGCTCCTCTCTTCCCAGTCTGTCAGTAACGCTCTGTTTACTTCCTGTCTCTGTGAAGCCCCTCCTTCTGAAAAGCACACTGTGCTCTGATTGGTCGGCTGGAGCAGTGTGTTGTGATTGGTCGAGCGCTGAGTGTGTTTGGGAAATGCCCCGCCCCTTTCCATAACCGCCAGTTTAACACACTACTAACTAACTCAACCAGGCCCCGCCCCTTTATTCTGCGCATTATTTAAATTACGAATATTGTGACGTGTTCAAGAAACCTTAAAATTTTGAGTTCATTGAAACTAAAAAACTGAATTAATACATTGGAAGAGATTTTGTTAGTTCTTAGTATTAACTAAAATGTTTAGTTTAAATGAACTCAAAAGTTTAAGCTACCAGGTAACTTGCCTTAAGTTTAACCAACTAATCTTTTTTTTTACAGTTTAGATATCATTATGCTGTGCAATAAGTTAATAAAAAAGGATTAAAAGGATTTGAGTCTTTAAATATTCATAGTTTGGCTAGATTTTGAGAACAAAAAAATCTTTGGTTTCTTCAACAAGTCATTTATAATTCAAATCATGTCTAATGATTTTTATTTTTATTTATTACAGTAGATTTTATTTACAGCCCTAAAAAACAAACATACCCTGCTGGAAAAGCAAACTAAAACCAACCTAAACTGGTTGGCTGGCCGTAAAATAGTTTAAGCTGGATGTCGCTAGTTAAAGATGGTTTAAGTTGGATGACTATTATGATGTCGCTGGTTTAAGATGGTTTAAGCTGTATGTTGCTGGTTTTAGCTGGTTTAAGCTGGATGTTGCTGGATGTCGCTGGTTTAAGCTAGTTTGAGCTGGTTGGCTGGTCTTAGCCGGTTTAAGCTGGTTTAAGCCGGATGTCACTGGTTTAAGATGGTTTAAACTGGTTTAAGATGGTTTAAGCTGGTTTAAGCTGGATGTCGCTGGTTTAAGCTGGTTTAAGCTGGTTTAAGATGGTTTAAGCTGAATGTTGCTGGTTTTAGCTGGTTTAAGCTGGATGTTGCTGGATGTCGCTGGTTTAAGACGGTTTAAACTGGCCGTTAAATAGTTTAAGCTGGATGTCGCTAGTTAAAGATGGTTTAAGTTGGATGACTATTATGATGTCGCTGGTTTAAGATGGTTTAAGCTGTATGTTGCTGGTTTTAGCTGGTTTAAGCTGGATGTTGCTGGATGTCGCTGGTTTAAGCTAGTTTGAGCTGGTTGGCTGGTCTTAGCCGGTTTAAGCTGGTTTAAGCCGGATGTCACTGGTTTAAGATGGTTTAAACTGGTTTAAGATGGTTTAAGCTGGATGTCGCTGGTTTAAGCTGGTTTAAGCTGGTTTAAGATGGTTTAAGCTGAATGTTGCTGGTTTTAGCTGGTTTAAGCTGGATGTTGCTGGATGTCGCTGGTTTAAGCTAGTTTGAGCTGGTTGGCTGGTCTTAGCCGGTTTAAGCTGGTTTAAGCCGGATGTCACTGGTTTAAGATGGTTTAAACTGGTTTAAGATGGTTTAAGCTGGTTTAAGCTGGATGTCGCTGGTTTAAGCTGGTTTAAGCTGGTTTAAGATGGTTTAAGCTGAATGTTGCTGGTTTTAGCTGGTTTAAGCTGGATGTTGCTGGATGTCGCTGGTTTAAGACGGTTTAAACTGGCCGTTAAATAGTTTAAGCTGGATGTCGCTAGTTAAAGATGGTTTAAGTTGGATGACTATTATGATGTCGCTGGTTTAAGATGGTTTAAGCTGTATGTTGCTGGTTTTAGCTGGTTTAAGCTGGATGTTGCTGGATGTCGCTGGTTTAAGCTAGTTTGAGCTGGTTGGCTGGTCTTAGCCGGTTTAAGCTGGTTTAAGCCGGATGTCACTGGTTTAAGATGGTTTAAACTGGTTTAAGATGGTTTAAGCTGGATGTCGCTGGTTTAAGCTGGTTTAAGCTGGTTTAAGATGGTTTAAGCTGAATGTTGCTGGTTTTAGCTGGTTTAAGCTGGATGTTGCTGGATGTCGCTGGTTTAAGCTAGTTTAAGCTGGTTGGCTGGTCTTAGCCGGTTTAAGCTGGTTTAAGCCGGATGTCACTGGTTTAAGATGGTTTAAACTGGTTTAAGATGGTTTAAGCTGGATGTCGCTGGTTTAAGCTGGTTTAAGATGGTTTAAGATGGTTTAAGCTAAATGTTGCTGGTTTTAGCTGGTTTAACCTGGATGTTGCTGGATGTCACTGGTTTAAGCTAGTTTAAGCTGGTTGGCTGGTCTTAGCTGATTTAAGATGGATGTTGCTGGTTTAAACTGATTTAGGATGGATGTCACTAGTTTAAACTGGTTTAATCTGATTTTAGCTGGTTTAAGCTGGTTTCCCAGGGTGGCCAAGCTGGTGTTTAGCTGGTTTTTATCAGGTTTGTAAGCTGGTTTCAGCCTAACCACCTAGAAAAGTGGCCCCTCTAAAACCAGCCTGCTAAACCAGCCATGACCAGGCTGGAAGACCAGCCACCCATCTTAGGCTGGTTTTTGCTGGTTTTTCAGCAGGGTAATGAGCCGTTCTGTTTTTAAACGTCCCGTAATGAGCACACGCTGAGGAAAGCGTGCTGTTTTGCTGGTTTTATAGACTGAGAGTTCAGGCATCGGCACAGAGAAGTCGTCCAGCCCTGACAGCGAAACCAACCCGCTCAGCTCCAGCAGCTCCAACGAACAGGTCGTGCCGAATGTCCTGAAGGTGAATATTACACACACATCACACGCATGATGCAATAATGCCTGGGGTTCTAGATAGAACTCTAGTGTTCTCGACTCAATTAATGCCGAAAAGATTCTATATAAGGAGAAATATCTTAAAGTCCCCCTGTAGTCAATAATTGTATCTCTTAAAACTCATCTTTGATCCCCAAAATGACATATTTAAGTGTTTTTTCCTTGAAAAAAATTTCTTCATGCCTTAAAATATCTTGAATGTAACTCGACACCCTTGCCTCATTTAGTATGCGTGGTTCTATGAATATGCAAATGAGCCCCGCCTCCTCTCACTCACTCAGCTCAGAGATCCACTGGTTGACGATCACACGTTGATCTGATTGGTTACAAGGTCGTTTGTGACGTCAGAAACACCAGCGATTTCAAACCGTGTTTTTGAGACTGTCTTTGGTTCACTGCAGTTTTAAGCAGGAAATACTCAGCAATGCTGTCGACTTATGAACTTACACATGTGTGTCTTAAAGCATATTAAAAACACCACATAGACACATAAACAACATTAAACGCTGGATTTACACCACAGGGGGACTTTAAATAATTGCATCATACTTTGAAGTTTAGCGGGTTATTTACATTTTTATTTATTCCTATGTGATTCCTCAAATCATGTGTATTTTGACTTTTCCTTTCTAGGAAAGTTCATCTGAAGGCTTGGACGAGTTACAGTCCCCGAATACCCAGCCAATTCCCGAATCCTCCGTCGAAAAGGAAGGTCCTACGGTCCTACCCCCCCACCCTGAGGCCAGCGTGACCTCTGACCTCGAGAAACCCAAGGACCAATCGGTTCACTACGGCACTCTGAACACTCACTCCCTGACGCTCCTACATGGATTCCCGTTCCATCCCTCGTTTCCCAGCGTTCCCACCAGAAACTACTTACCGGAAAACTGCTACACGCTCCCGCTCCCGCTCCACCGGGACAGCTTTACTCGAGGCGGCGCTTCAAAAGCAGAGCATGATGGGATAGATATTCTCTCCGGCGTCCATCACATGAGGCAGAGTTTGGACCTCTCGGAGGACGGGCATCTCGGGCCGGTTCCTCACGCGTTCCTGCAGGATCTGTACCGGACGTTCATCCCTGGTGAAAACACAATATGCTAAGTATACTAGCAACCAGACTAGCTTAGTATACCTCAAGCCATATAACGGCGCCTCCATTTCCATGTTGTTTGAGTGATCTGAACCTTATATTTCCATCATTTTCATACAATTTATGAAGTAGACATGCTATTCAGAAGTAGTATGGGAAGTTTGGCAGATTTTGATCTCTCTAATAAACACATAAAAAAAATTGTATGTGCGTTATAGCTTGCATAGCAAATAGTGAATCTATTATTATAAACATCTGCATCACCCTCACAAAAGTGACAATTGTAACATGATATATAAAAATATCTGTGGGGTGTTTTGAGATAAAACTTTACACACACACTCTGGGGACATCAGAGACTTATTTGACATCTTGTGGAAAGGGCATTATACCAGCCCTTTAATATATTTAAAGTACAATTTGTTGTTAGTATTTTTGCAGTGTACTATTGAAAAAGGGAATATATTTCAAATATAATAAAGTATACCTTTTTCCCACTAGGGATCCCGCAGAAACGGGCCAGCATGGTGAGCCTGGACACCATCCGGAAAGACCCGCGCTGGAGAGACCCGAACCTGAGGGACGTCAGCGCACGCAGCCACACCATGCTGATATTATTATACATAAATATACATTTATATTATATATATATATATATATATATATAACTATTATTAAATTAAATTAAAACTAAACTAAACACTAATAATACTAATATAATCATAAAAATATAACTATTATTAGTGTTTAGTGTAGTTTTAATTTAATGCTAATAATGTGTATGAACACAGGGAGGTGATCTCCATGCTGAGCCACCCGATGGACCCGGTGAAGTCCAACGCCGCGGCGTATCTCCAGCATCTCTGCTACGAGAACGACACGGTCAAGCAAGACGTCCGGCAGCTCCGAGGAATCCCGGTTCTGGTCGGGCTCCTGGATCATCCCAAACCCGAGGTGCACCGCAAGGCCTGTGGAGCGCTGAGGAACATCTCCTACGGCAGAGACAACTTCAACAAGGTGGCCATCAAGAACTCAGACGGCATTCCTGCGCTGCTGAGACTGCTGAGGAAATCCAACGACGCGGACGTCCGAGAACTGGTCACAGGTGCACATCAGCATTCATTAATCAATGAGAACTGGTCACAGGTGCACATCAGCATTCATTAATCAATGAGAACTGGTCACAGGTGCACATCAGCATTCATTAATCAATGAGAACTGGTCACAGGTGCACATCAGCATTCATAAATCAATGAGAACTGGTCACAGGTGCACATCAGCACTCATTAATCAATGAGAACTGGTCACAGGTGCACATCAGCATTCATTAATCAATGAGAACTGGTCACAGGTGCACATCAGCACTCATTAATCAATGAGAACTGGTCACAGGTGCACATCAGCACTCATTAATCAATGAGAACTGGTCACAGGTGCACATCAGCATTCATTAATCAATGAGAACTGGTCACAGGTGCACATCAGCACTCATTAATCAATGAGAACTGGTCACAGGTGCACATCAGCATTCATTAATCAATGAGAACTGGTCACAGGTGCACATCAGCATTCATTAATCAATGAGAACTGGTCACAGGTGTACATCAGCATTCATTAATCAATGAGAACTGGTCACAGGTGCACATCAGCACTCATTAATCAATGAGAACTGGTCACAGGTGCACATCAGCATTCATTAATCAATGAGAACTGGTCACAGGTGCACATCAGCACTCATTAATCAATGAGAACTGGTCACAGGTGCACATCAGCATTCATTAATCAATGAGAACTGGTCACAGGTGCACATCAGCATTCATTAATCAATGAGAACTGGTCACAGGTGCACATCAGCACTCATTAATCAATGAGAACTGGTCACAGGTGTACATCAGCATTCATTAATCAATGAGAACTGGTCACAGGTGCACATCAGCATTCATTAATCAATGAGAACTGGTCACAGGTGCACATCAGGATTCATTAATCAATGAGAACTGGTCACAGGTGCACATCAGCATTCATTAATCAATGAGAACTGGTCACAGGTGCACATCAGCATTCATTAATCAATGAGAACTGGTCACAGGTGCACATCAGCATTCATTAATCAATGAGAACTGGTCACAGGTGCACATCAGCATTCATTAATCAATGAGAACTGGTCACAGGTGCACATCAGCATTTATTAATCAATGAGAACTGGTCACAGGTGTACATCAGCACTCATTAATCAATGAGAACTGGTCACAGGTGCACATCAGCATTCATTAATCAATGAGAACTGGTCACAGGTGCACATCAGCATTCATTAATCAATGAGAACTGGTCACAGGTGTACATCAGCATTCATTAATCAATGATAACTGGTCACAGGTGCACATCAGCATTCATTAATCAATGATAACTGGTCACAGGTGCACATCAGCACTCATTAATCAATGAGAACTGGTCACAGGTGTACATCAGCATTCATTAATCAATGAGAACTGGTCACAGGTGCACATCAGCACTCATTAATCAATGAGAACTGGTCACAGGTGCACATCAGCATTCATTAATCAATGAGAACTGGTCACAGGTGCACATCAGCATTCATTAATCAATGAGAACTGGTCACAGGTGCACATCAGCATTCATTAATCAATGAGAACTGGTCACAGGTGTACATCAGCATTCATTAATCAATGAGAACTGGTCACAGGTGCACATCAGCATTCATTAATCAATGAGAACTGGTCACAGGTGCACATCAGCACTCATTAATCAATGAGAACTGGTCACAGGTGCACATCAGCACTCATTAATCAATGAGAACTGGTCACAGGTGCACATCAGCATTCATTAATCAATGAGAACTGGTCACAGGTGCACATCAGCACTCATTAATCAATGAGAACTGGTCACAGGTGCACATCAGCACTCATTAATCAATGAGAACTGGTCACAGGTGTACATCAGCATTCATTAATCAATGAGAACTGGTCACAGGTGCACATCAGCACTCATTAATCAATGAGAACTGGTCACAGGTGCACATCAGGATTCATTAATCAATGAGAACTGGTCACAGGTGCACATCAGCATTCATTAATCAATGAGAACTGGTCACAGGTGCACATCAGCATTCATTAATCAATGAGAACTGGTCACAGGTGCACATCAGCATTCATTAATCAATCAGAACTGGTCACAGGTGCACATCAGCATTCATTAATCAATCAGAACTGGTCACAGGTGCACATCAGCATTCATTAATCAATGAGCATGGGGAAACTGAAGGGAAAACGGGTTTGCTGCCTAATGCCGAGTTCAGACTGCACGATTTTAGCCCCGATTTTGGCTCGCCGACAGGTTTTGAGAAATCGCCGACAAATGCCCGAAATCACAGGCAAATCGGTGCTCGTTCACGCGAGTGACAATCACACAGTGTGAATGAGCAAAGACGCGATCTGAGAGAATCGCCGACCAGTCGCCGACGCCCGTGAGATATTTGGCATGCTAAATATCTGGACCTGTCGCGATTCACAATCCTGCTGTGTGAATGTGTTCTGACTGAAAACTACATCGGCGATGACCGACAGCCAATGAGAGAGCAAGATACAGGGAGGAGGAGGAGTTATAGACCAGAATATCAGTATTTTAATAGATAGGCCTATATTTACAATTATATCAAACAGAAACAAAGCACAAACATTTGCATGACCAGCAGCAACAGCAGGACATTTGCAAAATTATTTATTTACCCCCAACTCTCTTTGCAAAACACAGTCCTTGCTCCCCTCGTCTTCCCAACCATTTCCTGCATAAACTGTTTTTTTTTTTTTTGCTACAAATCAGTGCACAGACAATTTGTAGGCTATCATTTTTAATAACAAATTCAGTGTCGCGCGAGAACTCCGGTCTCACGCACGCTTGATCTTCCGTTATTTCCTATCACTTCTCGCGTTTGTTTGGTTGTGAAACGTAGTTTGCGGACCAGGCAGAAGTTGTCGGCGATTCTTTCTTTTGTAAAGTCATGCAGTGTGAAACCTCCTGTCGCCGATCCATCGTGCAGTGTGAACACAGCAGCAACTGAATGTTACCCCAGATAGTCATGCAGTGTGAAAACAACAGTGACCCGATTATTTTGAAAATCGTGCAGTCTGAACTCGGCATTACATGTGAGATGTGACCCTGGATCACAAAACCAGTCACGAGTCGCACGGGTATATCTGTGGCGATAGCCAACAATACATTGTATGGGTCAAAATTATCAATTTTTCTTTTAGGCCAAAAATCATTAGGATATTAAGTAAAGATCATGTTCCATGAAGATATTTAGTAAATTTCCTACCGTAAATATATATTTTTTGAAAAATTGTGAGTGGATGCAGCAAAATCTTTAAAGGTGATTTTCTCAATGTCCTATCCTAACACACCATACATCAATGGAAAGCTTATTTTTTCAGCTTTCAGATAATGTATAAATCTCAATTTAAAAAAACTGACCTTTGTGGCTGGTTTTGTGGTCCAGGGTCACATTTTGTTGTGGAAATCATGATGCACTACCATTCAAAAAAATAGTTTTATACATAAAGGAAGCATTAAATTAATCAAAAGTGACAATAAATATATTTATAATGTTACAAAAGATTATATTTTAAATAAATGCTGTTCTTTTGAACTTTCTATTAATCAAAGAATCCTGGAAAATAAATGTACAAAAATTTTAAGCAGCAAATACTGTTATTTCAGTTTTTATATTTTTAGTTTTCATGGTAGTCTTTGTCATTTCTTTATGTGCTTTTGTCACAGGAATAAATTATACTTTACTATAAATTCGCATAGAAAACAGCTGATTTACATTGGAATAATATTTTGTGATTTTTACTGTATTTTTAATTAAATAAATTCAGCTTTGATCACAGGAATAAATTACACTTTACTATAAATTTGCATAAAAAAACAGCTGATTTACATTGGAATAATATTTTGTGATTTTTACTGTATATTTAATTAAATAAATTCAGCTTTGATCACAGGAATAAATTACACTTTACGCATAGAAAACGTCTCTGGTTACTTGCGTAACCTATGTTCTCTGAATAGGGAACGAGACGCTGCGGAAAGCGCAGTGGGATATTCTCTGAATGTGCCGATTGTCTGAAGCCTTATAGAATCACGCCAATTCATTGGCTGATGGCGATATGGCCGCGGCCTCCTCCGTGCTACCGCTGGGCCTACTCCACATGAGACCCTTCATGTGGTGGATGAAACTCTCGATATGGCTCCGCCCCAACGCTCTTACGTCGCATCATTACATATTCGCGCGCGCGCCATCTGCTCCTCAGATTTCTCTGCCGAAAAGAAACTGTCAGCAGCGCGAGGAGCTTGGCCGCTAACGCAGCGTCTCGTTCCCTATTCAGAGAACATAGGTTACGCAAGTAACCAGAGACGTTCTCTTTCATAGGTTCACTCAACGCTGCGGAAAGCGCAGTGGGAACGGACTACCAAACTCGCCAAGCTAGAGCGCTTTTATAACTGGTAGATAAAAGAGACAAAGACCGAAATGAGTTCAAACAGAAAGAACCTGGGAACCCGGGGTCATGTCAAGATCCAAGCTATAGAACCTTACAAAAGTGTGCGGAGAGGACCAGCCTGCCGCAACACAAATATCCTCCAAAAGTGCTCCTCTGAAAAGAGCTTGAGAAGATGCTACACTTCTGGTGGAATGTGCTCTAATGCTAAGAGGTGAAGGCAAGCCACGCACCCCGTAAGCCAACGAGATAGCCTCTGTGACCCAGTGAGAAATCCTCTGCTTTGATGCAGCAAGCCCACGGCGGCTAGCACCGAAGCAAACCAGAAGCTGGTTAGACTTCCTCCAACCGCCTGAGCGGTCTACATATATCTTAAGAGAACGAACTGGGCAGAGCAAGTTAAGCTTCCTATCTTCCTCAGACGAAAATGGAGGAGGGTGGAAAGCGTTAAGGTTAACTACCTGTGAGCGGAAAGTTGAGGAAAGAACCTTGGGGACATACCCTGGTCTCGGCCTCAAGGAAACTTTGACCAGGCCAGGGGCAAAGTCCAAGCAAGACTCGCTAACAGAAAGAGCTTGTAAGTCTC